TTTTATTTTATTTTATTTTATTTTATTTTATTTTATTTTATTTTATTTTATTTTATTTTATTTTATTTTATTTTATTTTATTTTATTTTATTTTATTTTATTTTATTTTATTTTATTTTATTTGGATCTATTATTTGTTTGTTGATAGATTTTTTTGGTAATTGCAAATGGCGATAGTTAAAAATATAGCGAATCACACGTACGTAACAAAAAACATAAAAAAAATACAAAATAAAAAAAAAAATAGTAAAAGGAAAATAAATATATAAACTAAAATACACGCCGTACAATACATCAGATTTTAATCAGATTGAACAAAGTGTAACTTTTACTAAGTCAAATAGAAATAGGGAATACATAAATTAATCGGGACAGCCAGACTAATGATTAGGTGTCATTGACTCTAGATCTGACGTTAAAATAACATATTGAACTAATGTCTAATAGAATCTCATAAAAAATATGCATTTTGCGGCGAATTCGGTACTGTGAATCTAGAAATTGTTTAGAGACCATGTTTAATAGTTTCGTTCTACCATTGTTTGATTTCTGTGATGTCATCATTCACAATGCTGATAAGTGGCCATAAGTCATCTTGATGAATTACAAATCATGCAAAACAGTGGCAATCGGAATCGACGGAAACTGTATAACCATAGACCTACTGGAGGGTCTATGGTATAACACAATGCTGGTGTATACAAATAACAATGGGGTATGCCCGCTGATCACTCAACCAGATTTTGTTCCCATTTTAATTGAGAATTTCTTACAATAAAATAATATTTATTAATAATTGTATTCAAAAACAAAACACGCGTTCAAGGACCAACAAGCTGCAACTTTTGTTGACAACAAATGTTGATCTGTGGATCGAGCAATGTTGCAATTCGATAAACTGTAATCTACAACATACAACACGTTGCAAGGAACGCAACTTGTCTACGATGTTTCAGACTGTTTCCAACAAGTTGCAACTTGTTGACAACAGTCTGAAACATTGTATGAACCAAATGTTATTGTCGACAAAAGTTGATCCGTGTATCTTGAAAAACCAATCAACATCGATTTGTAAAGTGTTGTTTTCACGGTCAAAATACTTCATGATTTGTAAAGAAAAGAAAAGGGAGCAGGAACAGTAGAGATTCTTGTACAAACTTGTATTACCAATTTCCTCGTAGGGCGGTGGTCATCGTGACTATGTGCGCTGTATTACCTTCGAATTATGTATAAATAAACAACGGGTTTGAGCCGCATGTGTACGCGTTGCTATGTGTAGTGTGGGACCCCGCTACCTGTTAACCACAGCACGTGACCTTAATGATAACAGACCATTATTTCTACTTGTAAAAATGCAACTGTCTTCGAGATATCCAAAACGAAAATCCACATTGTTTTTGTTCTTAATATTGCCCGTGCGTTCTTATGAAAATACAGTACTTGCTATGAACTGTGTTTACTTCGTTGTTTTGTGTGTATTTTTTTTATTGTTGTATTTTTGCTATGTAACTATTTTAATTCCTCCTTTGATATGTGTTCTTATAATTTATAACTCGCTTCTCTGTTATTATAGCCTTTTGCCGACAATAAATGTTTAGTTCACCCCTGAATCAAAATGCAAATGTTGTCCCAGGTCAGTGGGAGTTGACGACCTTGGTCAGCCCCAAGCATTTATAATGCCTCCACCCTATTGCATGGTCGATTTGGGTGCTACAACTCGATATTTGCATACCAGTTTTCCCGGGTCGACATTTTATCGTTATATTTGTATTCATTCAACAGATACATTAGTATGTTCGGGCACTATCGTCATTCCAAAATATGTTCTGTTGCCATGGATATGGGCACTGGGGTGATTACGTCAACATAGCGGTGGCGGACCGCTATGGCTCTCTTTGATATTCTTCCGCATTGGAATATTGGTTTCCTGGTTGTCGCTGGCAATGTTTTGACGTTGTCATGCGAAGGCGTATTATTTTCACGTGATTTGCACTATATATAGCCCATCGCTTAGAGATGACAGCGTCGATGTCATGGTGCAATAATGCAACACCTCAAGGCACAGTTTTTGATTACATTCGTGAAAATCGATGCATTGAGTACTTTAAAGTAAAATAAATTATTAATATTATTATAAATCTGATGCAAATCTGAAATAGTGTAAATTAAGCTGTGAGAAATAAAAAAAAAATTGAAAAAAGATCTATATCGCGAACTCTATTGTGTTCAGAAAGCCACCGCGCCCTTCATCACACTGCTGTCAGTGTGCGGATGTATTTGACAGCAGGGCCGTAACCGGAACTATTTTCACGTTGGCGGGTGCGGCCATCTTGTATTTTGAACGATCTGTGGGAACCGAAGATAGCGACTTCAATCCATTAGAATCGTCGGTGAAAATTTACCATCCGCTATGGCAGATAGAGAAGATCAAGTTTACCAAGCCAAACTGGCTGAACAAGCTGAAAGATATGACGGTAATATGTAAAATCTTGTTGTAGTCTTGCGATTCCCGGCCTCGGGTTGCCGTTACTACACAGACTGCCAGGAAACGTTATTGTTGTTTGATACCTGTCGAAATATGCACGAAAAAATTGGTTTAAACGTAATAATATGCGCGTCGAATGTACCGTATGGAAGCATAATATGTGTAGTTTACTTTGTGTTGGGTTTTACAGTGCATTTCCCTTTTTTGTGTATCCTATAATGACAAAAAGAGCACTGGGCGAGCTTCGACAATTTTACATATCACAGTCGCCATGTTGAATTTGAATATTATGAGTCATTGACACACTTAACCAACCATTTACCTGATCCTGGAGGAAATAGGATCTGCCGTTTTTTGTCGCTGTTTTTAGAAATATTATCTGCGATATTGCGGTTATTATCATTGTAAAGCATGTTTAGAAAGTCGAAAAATAATCTGCAAAGCATGTTGTGACTCATAATTCTTTTTACCGACTCGCCTTGCCCTCGTTCCCCGGCTTGATGTTGCTCGCCTAGTAATTTTAATATTCGGGTCATTTTATGACAAGTGGGATTTTACCGTTTTGTGCGTTCTTTTTTTTTTTTTATAGAAAAACGAATTTTCATAGCGATAGCTTAATGTAGAGTGCACCCAGGGCAATGCCCATTTCACAGGGTTTGAATTTTTTCGTTCTGTTTTCTTGACGTTTATGTTAAAGGATCTATTCCTTGAAAATAACATTAAATGACTGTCCTGATTAGTCAGAGCTTAGGTATGCTATATAGTAATCTGCTTTATAATGTTGCTACAGTTGACCAACCAAACTCATGATAAATTAATCATCTATCACTAAATCCAAGATTGTCATTGAAAAATAGATAATCTGGTCCAGCGTATTTGTGTAAGTCATTTTGGTCTATTTGATATTTTATTTTTGTGACAAGGTTGAAGTTGACCTTTCATAGTTTGGGAGAAAATGTATATTGCTTTTCTCAGTATTGTAAAAATATAACAATGTCCTGACTCGGATGATCTAAAGACAGGTTCAGACTGAACATTGCTTAATCTGCATACAATGGGTCAGTTGTATTTCTGGCAAATTTGTGTCAAGAGTGTTACGACATAAGCTGAACTTCACAATCCAAATGTATCCAATTTATTGGCCCAAACCACTAATTATTTGAAAGGCAATCAGGGTAAAGCATCAAAATGACCTTTGGTTCTATATGTTCTATACGCCCCATGCCCCATCTTTCAGTGCAATACAGTAGTTTCTGTTTACTATTCTTTCTCCGCATTTAAAAATAGTACCCTTTGTGAACATGGAAAAGTTGGTTGGTTGTCGTGTTAATTAAGTTCAGATAAATGCATAGCACTTCCTCATTTAAGGTTTGTGAATTTAAAAACTGTAATTGACTATGACTATAGATCAGGATGATAATTAAGCTGAATTTATTGAGTTATCTTGTATGTATGTGTGAAAACACATTGAAATATCTACATACAATAGTTTGCTCAATTGTAAAACCACAAAGAAATAGATAAAGTAAACAACATAGAAATTTTAAGATGCATTTCAAAGAGAATTGATTATCACAATCTCCCATCAACCCAGTCATTTTGGAGTTGGCTTCATTGCAATTATTAACATAGTCAGTGAGCTGCATCCTTATCAATTTAAATCGAATGATAGATAAATACCAGTTTAGAAGTTTAAAAAAAAAATGATCGATATAAATTTCTACAAAGTTAATAAATTAATGTGAGATTTGAATCTTTGTGGATATGGAGAGGGGGTAAAGCATATGTTCTGTGTGTGTGACAATGTTCAGTGAGGGGGGATTTATGTAATTATTTGGTCCCTTGGTGGCATCAGATGTGGCTTTAGTTCAAGTATTATAAATTATAGCATTTATATATGCATGGTGTGTATATAATAAATTATACTAATATTATTTAATGAGCTTGTACTCTTTGTTGGATTCAAACTATTATGTTTACATCTATTTTGACATGCTTTCTTTGAATAATTTGGATTATTACAATGCTGATAAAAATGTTAATCATCTAAAAAATAACCATGATGCTACTTTGAGTAAAATAGTCATAGTGCTTGTTGTCCATTTTCATTTGAGCCTAGAATTCAGCTGTCTAGCAGCATGTTTTCAAAGCAGTGACGAGCATAATAAACAAGAGATTGTTCACACTTGTATTCCATTGACTACTAGTAATACTAATGTGAGATGGTAGTTTAAATTTTTGATCAAACATGTTAGTCATCTGTATCAATCAGCATGAATTAAAAGAATAAAGATTACAATTTTCACTTAACAAAGCCAAAGGTATTGGATGACTTTGAAATAGAAATGGTTTACTGAGGTCTGACAATGGCAAATTTCTTGGCTACATCAAGTGTTCACTTTTGCCATCTATAGCTAAGATTACAACGATTAATTGTGCTTTAAAACACTTCATCACCTATGAAAAATGCAGATAATTTTATTATGTCACCAGTGCCACCATTAGTGCCAGTGGCTAAGATGAACTACAAACAATAAATTATTCTTAAAAAAGGGTCATTCAAAAACAAAATTTCCCATAAAAAAGTCAAATAATAAACCTCAGGAAAATACAAATATAATCTATTACAAATTGTGCTCAGAGATAATATTGATATTTAATTTATCTGCGAATTGCTCAATTGTATATTCCAAAAGATGCATGTTCAACATGTTTGTGTTCTGTTTGTTTCCCGGTTTTGTTAACGTTCCATTTGCCATAACTTGGAGAACATAAAAATAACAGCAGTCTCACACTGCCTCTACACAATCTTGCAGTTTAAATGTCTGTACATGTGACAGCAGTTGTTAAATAAGCTGAGTTAAGTTTCCCCCAATTACTAACATCGATACATACATACATTGTATTTACACCTTAAAATGTCATAGTTGTCCCAAAACGCCAATAATCTTAAAAAAGCAGATTTACTGTGACCTTTTTATGCTGTTACTGTAAAATGTTACGGCATACTCAATAGCCATTTTGTAAGTCTCGCTGACAGATCATTCATTCTTTTTACAATCATAAAGAATTTGAGTGTATGTACCATCTGAACTTCATTGATCTGTCATTTTATGTTTAACCTCAGCCTCAACCACGTATTTCAATAAAAATACCTACTATGTTGAAATTGTATACTGAGAAACAGTTGAAATACATATATCTACACATGTATTGCATATTGGGAAACTTTTCACTGATATTTTCATAGACTGCTTTGATATGGAATGCAGTGTTGTAAAAAAAAACAAAAAAACTTGTCATTTGTATGCTAAACATGCATGTCTGAAATCATTAAAATTTAACTTGTACATAAGATAACATGTCATACTGCCTTGTGTTGCATAGAATTAATATGATAATGGACTGATCAGCTGGTTTTGAACACGTTTCAGTTTGCTGTATGTCAAATTTAGTTGCAAAGGAAATATCTTTATGATTTAGTGCCAAAAGTGTAGTGCTTTATTTTTGAAAATTTTTTGAGTAAGAAATATAAATGAATTATGATTTATGTATTTAAGTGGAGAAACCAGTGTGAATGGCATGTAGGCATACTAGTTATTGTGCTTCAACAACATAGAATGTTAACTGAAGAGATTAACAAAAAGGAATTAGAAAAATAATTAAAAAAAAAAGTTTTCCTGAAGATGTGAGCATATAAAAAAAAAAGTATTGTCCAAACAATTTCAGCACCAGAGTGAATTTGAAGTGTAGGTAAATGTAGGTGGTATTTTTGTAAGGTTTGATACATTGACTGAAAAAGTAGGTGGGGAAAATGCTTTCACTATGCATGTGATTCTCCCTCCCTCAGACAAGACTGAAGCTTTACTTTTAGAATGGTTGTCCTAGTGATAGAGAGGTAGACTGTAAACTTTGCATCATGATTTTATACTAAAGTTTTGTACAATACAATTGCAATACTGCTAAAATCTTGTTGTTAAAGAAAGGGGTTGTAAATGATAATTATTTACGAACATGCCATTACCCCTTAGTTGAAATGTGCAAGAGTATCTAAGGTTTTACATGCTTGAACGATATAGTAGGCAAGTGAGCACAGTATGGTTAATACTTAACTTAAAATCATTGTGAAACTATGGTAAAATATTTTTTTTGTTTTTTTTTCTGCAGAGATGGTTGAACATATGACAAAAGTTGCAAAACTTGATGTGGAATTGACTGTAGAAGAAAGAAATCTTTTATCCGTTGCTTTCAAAAATGTCATAGGTGCACGTCGAGCATCGTGGAGAATAATTAGTAGTATTGAAACGAAAGAAGAAAATAAACCTGGTAATGAGAAGATTGAAATGATTCGTAGCTACAGAGTACAGGTGAGATTTTGGGTATATGATAAAGAACTTGAATGTGTTTTGGGACAAGCCCAACCCCAATGTACAGGATCAATTCTGATTTCACTTTTGCTGTCCAGTATACTGAGTATTCTTACTAACAGTTGTCATTTTTTTTTGTATTTTTTAGGTTGAACAAGAGTTGGGTGAAATTTGCAACGATATTTTAGACTTACTGGATAAAAATTTGATACCCTCATCAACAACAGGAGAGTCCAAAGTCTTCTATTACAAAATGTAAGCTTTCTGTTTTATTCACTTGTCTGGTAATATGGGTTTGTAAAAGAAATCTGCGAACAAATCTGTTTAGATGAAACCCCAAAGGGATTACCGTAAAATCTGTATTAGAAGCTGCATCTCTAATAGAAGTCCCACCCATTCGTTTTGAACAATTGAGAAGCAAATATTCACCATTTCCTATATGTGTACATGCTCTAATAGAAGCTGCATCCCCTCTGTTGCATTGTGCCATTTTATTAGAAGCCGCAGCTCCTAATACAGATTTTACAGTAGTTTCTGCACAGGCATTCATCGGCGAATGTGGTTCAAATTGAATACTGCTTGCATAGCATATTCTGTATAGTATAGAAATAGGGTAAGCTCTTTCATGAAATGCCTATCCCACCTGCCCTGCATTCTGTTTGTGCCAAGTCGCAAAATATCTATAACTACCATCTGCTCTATTTGTTAGAACTGAGATGTTGATTGTGCTTTTTGCAATGTTCTCCATAGCATCAAATGTTGAAGAAAATGTATTAAGCCCCGTCTTGTAAGAATTGATATGTTTATATTACAGGAAAGGAGACTATCACCGATATTTGGCAGAGTTTTCTACTGGCAATGACAGAAAAGAAGCTGCAGAAAACAGTCTGGTTGCTTACAAGGCGGCTAGTGACATTGGCTTGAAGGAGTTAGCGTCTACAAATCCTATACGCCTTGGTTTAGCACTCAACTTCTCTGTCTTCTACTACGAGATCTTGAATTCACCCGACAGAGCATGTCGTCTAGCAAAGGCTGCGTTTGATGATGCTATTGCTGAGCTCGACACACTTAATGAAGATAGTTATAAAGATTCTACACTAATCATGCAGTTATTAAGGGATAACTTGACGCTTTGGACGTCAGACATGCAGGCAGACGGTAAGGTTCCATATTCCTTGCTAGTCAAGTGTGAAATTCTTTATTGTAAATAAGTTAACATTAGCTGAAATGCTACATTATTCTCGAAAATCCCATTGCATTAGATATTTTTATGTAATGATGAACGCAAACATGCATTTTCTAATATGAATTCCCCTCAAATTACCATGAAAGACAATTTTTGTAAATGTGATTGCCCAGTCAGTGTTCTTCCCAGATAATAGTGCATCTAATTTACATTATTATTTACATATGTTATTGTTACTATATAAAAATTTCAACCTACCTGCAATTAAAGACAAGATCCATTGTATGTACGTATCAAGTAAAATAAAGTTTGAAATAGAACAGTAAAAAAAAAAAAAGCAAAGGAAATATTTGTCATAGTCAGTCTGTAAATATAGTTATCCATGGAGGTAACTGGTTCATCATTATTTTTTGTACAAGTACAGTCAGTTTTAGTGCCCATGCCAGTGTCAGTTAAGTCTGCAAGATTGCAGGTTATCAAAATATAAAGAATTTGATAAATCAATAATGAGAATTTCAAATATTCAAACATTTCAAATCTATACCTTGTGCGTAACACTACGATCAGTGTAACATTGTCAGCTGACGGCATGGCGCTGAACCGGTATTCACCGCTGTTGTTGCGATCATCGGTCCCTGACTTTTTAGTTTAAAAATACACAAATTTAGAATGTTTTGGTAATTAAAGATTCATTGACTATTATCTTAGACATTGCATCAAAATTGCCAAAGAGATGTTGTTTTTAAACATCACGGAAAAACAATCACTCTGCACCGCCATCTTTGTTACCTCAATCGGAATCCCTTTTGATGATAGTGTCGCGTTCAGCTAAACTGTTTTTTTTTCAGGGCAAAGTCACTTGAGCAATAGCAAAAATGTTCAATTTTGTCTTTAAAAATGCCCTTAATTCGTTACATTAGAATAGTCTGGCTGAATGCAATGCAACGCAACTCAACTCAAAGCAATCCTCCAAATGGCCCGTTTGTCTTCACAAAGTCTAAACGTCTTTTTTTTTTTTGTCACTTTTTCAGAGGAACAGCAACAGCAACAACAGAAAACGGGTGAACTTGAAGATTGTGAACAAGATGAAGTACCTTAAATTTGTAATTTGTTATTGCGTATAATCTTTGGGTATTCATTGGTCACTTTCCATTTATGACTGATGATAACATTCCCTATAGTTCATATAGGAGAATTGTCAATGCCATGTAGTTCCTGTAGAAAAAAATGAACATAGAATACTTTTTTTTTCTTAATGTCTCCTGGTATTGTGTGCTTCTTCATGTGCTGTTATTCCTACAAACTAGTAATAATTACACCACATAATCCAGATTTTCATTGCAAAGTACATGATGGCACGCTCTCGCCATATAAAAGAAGATTTAAAATAAGAAAAAAAAAGCAGGCTGTTTTTTGAAATTTTTTTGTGACCAAAAATTTATTTTGTGTTCATATCTGTAACATGTTGGAATTATAATTTTTTTTTTGTAATAATTTGTGACAGGCATGTTGGTTGTTTGTTTTTATAGCTGGCTGACATTCCTGTTACCTCAAGAAGGGATAGAAGTGTCTACTTTATTTGGTTCTTGCCTTTTTCTTCAATTTGCTTGTACAGTCTTTCACCACCCCACTCCCCCTCAGTAGTTAAGTATATATAAGAATGTGAAATCCCAAAGTTTGCTGGATCTTTAAAATGGATGTTTTTTGTGGCCCCTGTAGAGCTTAGACTGATTTCTAATGATTCTATATTATCATTTGTGTCATTGTACTTAAATGGAACAAACTTTCTATATATATATATATAAATATATATACACCAACATCATAATGTGCTCATTGTTTAACCTATATTTTGGAGCGTAGTTACTGCTTTTATTGGCTACCAATCTAGTTGAAACAAATACCCTTTATATACTGGCTGTATAACTCGCTCTTGTTGATCTTGTAATAAATTTTGTTTTTAAATTTGTTTTATGTTTTTGTTTTCTGCCCTCGTGTTCAGTGTTTTTGTTGCTGAGTGTCGATCACCCTTTCTAACTAGGTATATACAGTGACACACCGCTAGTCTTGTGCATTGCTTCTATCTCAACTAATGCTTCCTTGTCCTAGTAATGCTTGTCAATGTATACGTTATGTGCATACAAAATATTGTAAGAACTGAATTCACATTTCAGTTTCTATGAATAATTATTAAAATATGTCTTTATGTTGGAAATTGTCGTCTGTTATTTAAGGGGGGAGAGGTGAGAGGGAATTGGACTTTCTGTGACCGGTGTGTAACCCCACATCCAGATTTAGCAATTCACTATAACCATACATTTTGTGGTGTCAGATTGCTGCTCGTCGGCACGATTGCATGCTGCAGAAGTTAGGGGATGATCAGTTGTTTACGAGACAACTTTTGAATTTCTTAGTTGCGGTTCATAAATGTTCTGGATATAGTGCTATGTACTTGGTCAGGGAGACTCGCGCTTCAAGATGCGAAGACTTTTTAGCTCCGCTGTCTACTTTGTCGAGCGGAGCTTATCGTATGAGTGATTGTCTGGCGGCTTCGTCGTCCGTGTCAATGTTTTACTTGTTCGACTTCTTCTTGAAAACTATAAGCCTGAATGCTTTGATACTTGGTGTATATGTACCTTGGGTAGACCTCTCTTAGATTTGTTCAATTCATGATTTCTTCAATTCTCTAATTTTGGTGAATATTTTTGTCATTTTTGGTAAGTGATATTTTCGACTTGTTAAAAACCGCAAGTCCAATTGCTTGAATATTACATATATAGGCACTAAATGTGGTCCTCTCTAAGATTTGTTCATTTCATGATATCTTCAATTCTCTAATTTTGATGAATATTTTTGGTAAAAAGTGATATTTTTGAATTCTTGTTAAGAACAGCACAAGTCTACATATTGTTCATTTTCTAATAACAGTGGAGCTATCTCAGCCGAGAGGCTGCTTGTTAAGGTTTCTAATGTATAGTACATTCAAATGTCAGTAACTGCAGGCTTCTTCAAAGTTTGTGCACAACACGTCTAGTCGATTGCTTGAGTTTACCCCAATTCGTACAAAGTGACTACAGAGTTACGGTCCTGTGAAAATTCTTTCAACTGGATGTTAAGTTGGTATTTAAATTAACATAAAACCATTATGATCCAGGTTTCTTGTAGCGAGTAGGACGGCCAAAACTAGATTTTTGGTGAGGATGTGGTTTGCATCGTATTGGTGCTGATGGAATAAAAAGAAAATGCATTTTTTGAAAGCTTTTCCAATTTGTAATGAAAAGAAAAATACCTGGAACTAATACTGCCTTACAGTAAGAACAAGAGGCACATTCCACTCAAAGTTTAGGTAGTTTGCTACCATTGAAACTTATTGCCGAATTTCCGTGATTTTACCATATGGTTTTATTTTATGCTGTTACAGTGATACAAAATCCAGATGTAAATCTAGGTTCAACAAAAACTTTTGCGGATGCAACAAGAACCGCTTGAACTGTCAAACTACCACTTTTGCACATGAAACTACCTAAGTGTTAAACTATCTTTTGTCGTGATCAATTTTAGAATGTCAAGCCACCAATCCAATACGAGTAATTTTTTTAACATTATGGTTTGCAATTTATTATTAGCTGGTTAATTGTGTTGTATTTTGACCCGGTTTTTGGATGCTTTTTTTTCTAAAATTGTCAGTCGTCAAAAAAAATATCAAACATTAACAAAAATAGGGCGATTCTTCTACCAGTGATGCCAAAACTAGTTTTGTGCTACTTGGACTAGATGACTAATGTTACCCCAGGACGTAAATAACACCCCCATAAGTGTGGCACCTCCACAAATGTGTGAACCTGAGTAACTCCCGGTAATCACTGCTAAATTTCAGGAAATGCATCCGTCCTAATTGCGCCCTCTATATTGACTGGGCGTTACTGTGATTTATAAATGGCATGCAGTATATGCTGTCAACGAAGGCTTTTGCCGCAATGTCAGGCTACGCTGTGTGGCGTGAATCTTGTGGACGGGTTTCTTCTAGCTCCTTTGAGTTTACAATATTACTCAGTACTTATTCACTGTTATAATGCTGTACCATTACTTTCGGCTTTCACCATACGCGAGCATCGGTTCGAGTCGTGCATGCAGTGCGTGTTGATTTGAACATAGACCTTAGAAAAAGAGTCAGAACGAAAATACAGCGATCTAAAATAAACCGGGTCAGCCATTGCCGGTATAAGCTGCTGACTTTCACGGTTTCAGAATTATGACTTTAAAATATAGACCAGCAAAACTAAAATACACGAGTATCCTTGAAAATAGTATGATTTAAGTGAAAATACGATAATACAAACAAAATGTGGCAGTCGCAGGATAAGTATTTGTCACCACACATAAAATCAGCCGAGTAGTTAATTTATACTGATGAAAACAACGAATTGTAACTCTACATACATTAAGTGTCACCTAATAACCAGTACAAACAAATGGATCTTGTATTGTAATTAAAAATTCGATGTAATGAGCACAAGCACTGAAAGACGTGTTGCAAACTGCGCGGCCGAGTGATTGTGAGTGACGTCATACGGCTTCCTTAGCTTGGTCATTTGTTTATAACTAGTAACCCACGTTGCACGCTGGATGTCGTGAAATCCTTTGTTTTATAATCCAGTTGCCTTTCTAAGGTCTATGATAGTATTTACCCATTCTCCTTCCCAGAGTTCCTTACTGTTAGATCACCGAAAGTATCGTAGAAATAGAACTCTGCCTGAGAGATTGGTCATGTCAATGTATTCATTTATACAGATACCTTCTATTTGCACAAAAAGCATGACACTACATTATTTCACCCAGGGAAAACATTGAAATGTACCGTTTATAGGTAGTATGTATTATTTGGCTGATTGGTGAAATTAATTTTCCTGTCAGCGAAAACCTTGTTAATTTTCCGGATATTACTGATCCAATCCAAATTTTATTCAAGTTCCCCCCAACCGAGCAAAGTATATACAAATCGAAACAGAATATTACAGGTCGTATATTCGAAAAGGATAGTGTGGTTCACTACTCGTATTATGAGTGTAGCTCATCCGTATAATATACACTTTTCAAAACTGGTAAGCCATTGAGCACTGTTCACAAATTTTCAGTTATGAAATGTGCAAAATACGATAACAAATAAAAGTTAGTCAAAAATGGAGGCGATAGAGGGCGAGTGACCTGTACTCCCCACACAAGGTGACAGACGTTCCTATACAAAATGTTATGAAAATACTAACGAGACACGCGTATGATATGCTATGTAAATTAGACAATGAAGGAAGATGGTTACCTTACATAAAATTATATAATTCACATACGGATTCGCCTGTGCATGAATTGCTCAGACTATAGTATGCAACAAGTTCACGTTGATAGTTACCAATATACAGACATGGAATGAAAATGAAAATTCTTACTGCTGAAATCGGATGGCCAATTTATTAAAGCATTTTCCCGTTTTCTATGCTAATCTTCTCTAGCAATTGAGAGTGTAAGGGCGTCGTGGAATTGAGCCAAAGTCACGTATCTGTAAAATATGTAAATTAGGTGACGTATAAAATGAACATCGATTCCTAAAAAAATACCAGGCGTACTGTTACGATCTGATATTAAAATATCCGCCGAGCAGTGGAGTTAAACATAACTACGGTGCATGTCACTAGTTAATAAGTTCTTCGTAGCTCTATATTTCAGCTAAGTCTTCTGGCATTTTTGTGTACAAAACAATATAGAACACGTTTAACTTTACTTAATTTTATTTTGTATTTTCAATTACAACGCTGTTTATTTGTGACTATTTGTTTGAAAGCTAGAAATTAATTGTTTTGACTTTAATAATCTTGAATTTTCAAGGTAAATGTTCCGGCGAAGCACTCCACTATCAGAATGTCCGAACGGAACAACACCGTGCAGGCGGACGATGACTTGAATATATGAGTCTTTTGCACGAAATAAACTATTGTATATCCGATGTATTGTTATCTGATATATTTGGCAATAAAAATGGTTTTATTGTCGTTTCATTATTGAGAGAATTATTTGAACATTGCATCTCACCCACTACCATTTCCGTATAAATAGATTGCCATGGTTACCCCGAACAAGCACACATATACTCGGGGTTGTAATTTTAAGATCGTCTGTAAATAATCAAATACTGCCGAAATGCTATCATAACTTTTCCTCGAATAAGCAACCATCATTTTAATTCCAAATTCAAATAATACTTGTTTTTTGTTCAAATATTTGTAGTTCCTCGTTACTACAGTAACACTTTTCTGAGCTGTCTTTTGTATTAAACATAAATCTATCCATTCTAGCTAAATTGTCCGACAGTTCCTACATATTTGCCATTCGCACCCTTCAGACGTGTTCAAACCATGGCGATGTCTTTAGATTTTTAAAATTCAGTTCATTGTGACGTTGAACTTTTAGTGGTGTAGTCAGCAGTTGATGAGGTAGTGGTGGTGGACACAAAGCGAGTGTATAACAGCCAGAGCAAGTCACTACACAAACACCATCACAAAACACAACTTTTTGTTGTCGAAATTCATTGACACTAGCTGACATGTATTCACAAAAATACAAATGAAGCCAAATAGCCTTTATGCGCGTGTACACACGCGACCCTGAACCGTTGTCACGGATCTAAACGTCGCCCGGAATGGTCTCGCGTATGCCGATCGCTTTGGTCCACTTGAATTTCAGCCATAGAATTAATCGACGAACTGTGGAGTTTCACTTATGTCAGAGGTGTACGTGTTACGCGATGTTTTCTGTGTAATTCTAATGAGCACTAAGAGTGTTGTAAACACCAAACAGGGTGGGAAACTTTTACAATGGTATACATGTACACAATGCAAGAAGGAGTTCGCCTTCATGAATATGTCCTATAGATATAATGAACTCTAAAAAATGAACAGTGCAATAAATAGCGCCGTTGTTTTGAAAGGCTCATTAACCCATTTTCCCAAACTCTACGTCAGTTCGATGTGCGAGGAGATGACGACTCAACGCAGCCAGATTATTCCCTTGTTTTTTGCTGTGCTACTGGTTTCTCTGTTGTTGCTTGCTTTCCAACTTCACAACACACATTTCAATATGAGCCGCTCTCCCGACATAGGTATACCTGGATGGTGGGAAGGAGTCCGCTGTCTGAGAAATATTCACGGAGAATGTGAGGTTAGGAATCAGTCCACTGACACGAATTCAGACATTGCCCACAGCAACCAAACAGTGCTAAACCGTGACGATAGCGTCAACAATCCAATACCGTGTCCGATCGATGAAATACAGACAAATACGACAATTGGTCATTTACCCGCTGACTTTACATTCATCAACAACCCACGGAGAAAATGTGAATGTAGCGACGGAACGACCAAATCTGTGAACTTTCTCGTAGGTATTGTCTCACAAGCTTCTAGATTCGAGTTTCGCGCTGCGCTCCGAGATTCCTGGGCCAATGAGAGCCTCCTAAATCATCTATCTGCCCGTGCTGTGTTTTTAGTCGGAGCACCACAAACTCAGGAAATTCAGAATCAACTAAATAAGGAAAGTGAACAATATGATGATGTCATTCAAGGTAACTTCAAAGAGAGTTACCGATATTTGACGTTAAAAACAATCATGTTTTTCAGATGGGTGTATATATACTGTTCACATGTCAATTATATCATAAAGTCCCAGGACGACGCGTTTGTGAACGTCAAACGGCTGGACTCTTTAATGGAAACTTTACCGAAAACATCACTCTATTTTGGCAATGTACTGCTCAGAGGTGCTGTCAATCGCGATAAATGTAGTCGCGACTACACTTCATTCGAAGCTTACCCTTACGATATGTTCCCCATATACAACTTAGGTGCGTTCTACATTCTCTCAGGTGACGTAGCTTCAGCCGGTTACGAATACATATCAAGCCGTAACACGGGCTACGTTCCATCAGAAGATGCATATATCGGAATCATAATGTCCAAACTGGGTGTGGTTGCCAAGCATTCTAATAGGATATACGTTGATGCGGCAGTTGTGGAACTACCGTGCATATATATTAACAATATCGCAGTTCACAAATCAACGCCGAGTTTAATACTGGAATACTGGGCATTTATTGAAAAGATGCAATTATTTGACGATGTGTCCGAATATATGAATTCTCTCTGTCGAAAAGGAACAAAATAATACAGCGTGTATTATTATGTTTATCGACAGTAATTAATATTACATTTTTTTTATAATTATTCTCAGGAACACCGTAATTTGCAGCTAACTGCATGTATAGTATTACAGTTTCAACTTGCATTACCACTTTGTAATGTATATGCAAAACTTCCAGTAATTTATAACGTGATCACCACGCACGAAACATGATAAAATTGGTATGTTAACCTGAAATATTGGGCCACTCTAGCTCGTCTTTCAAGACCGTATGCATTTTCAATTTTGCATAACTTGCATATTTTTGTTGGTTTTTCTAAATTCCATTTATCATCATCAAAACCCAAAGCTTACTTACAAGGATCATTAGGGGTGATGGTAGTGGTGTGGAATTGGGTTTTGTGGATTGTGGGATGGGTTGGATTGGGTTCTGTATGCGGTGGGACTGGGTTGGATTGGGTTCTATGGGTGGTTGGGTTTGGGTGGGATTGGAATTTGTTGGTTAGGCCAGACTTTTATTATCCCTTGTTTCGCGAACCCGCCGAATGAACAGAAGCCGAAAACGAAATAAAAATATAATTTTATTTCAGCGTAATTTCTCGCGCCCGCCGACTTGTAAGCGCGATTTTTTTTACCGCCCGCTGCATAACAAATCCAAGTTGCATTTTCGTAGCAGTATCATGATCAAAGTACCGAAGTCTCGCGCAGATGAGAAACAAGGTTACACATGGAATACAATTTTATTTCATGTCTTCTCTCTCTGATCAATGATCTCACTTACAAATCTGATGAAAAAAAAAAAAGAATTAATTTTATTTTTTTCCTGCTCTCCTCAAAAAAATTGCCTTATAAAAACTCGCGAAACAAGGAATAAAAAAAGTCTGGCCTTACGGGATTCTATGGATCATATAAATTGTAATAGGAATTGTCCATTTAAAAACCGAGGACAGCGCTCTAAAAATGTGGAAACTTCGATTGTTCAGTGAGTGCATTATTTATAACTATTTATATTTATTATGTCACGTGACACATATGTTAATTAATGTTTTTGTAATTGAAAACACTCCATAATTATGTATCAATACGTGACAAGTAGATAAGCCCATGTTTCTGCTTGAACATACAAGATAAATGAACAAAATAGAAAATGTATTAATAGCCATTTTTTAACCTTTTCACCACCAGACTTTCTCACCAAAATGTTCCTACTTTTTTCTTATATTCTTCAATATTTCTGAAAAAAAAACTAATTTTGGAGCCAACAGAAAATATTTGTGTAAATTTTGAGTTTTAACTCAAAAAATTGTCTATTTTTGTCACAATCTTTTGAAGGAATGTGTAGTTTATAAATAGAACTATTTTGTGATGAAAAGAAGGAACTAGTGATGAAGAGGTTAATAAAGCAATACAAGCTTATAAAATGCATCTTTACTACTTTAGCCAAATGGTTTAAAATTGACCAATCATGTAGCTTACAGTCGTTTAACACATTTATCCATATCACGTGGCATAGATTCATATAACATATTAACCACATCATGTGGCATACATTCATGTAACACATTAACGGTATCATATGACATACATTCGTATAACACATTAACCACCTCATGTGGCATACATTCATATAACACATTAACTATATCATGTGTCATACATTCGTGTAACACATTTAACCACATTATGTGGCATACATTCGTGTAACACATTAACGGTATCATATGGCATACATTCGTATAACACATTAACCACATCATGTGGCACACATTCATATAACACATTAACCACATCGTGTGGCATACATTTATGTAACACATTTAACCACATTATGTGGCATACATTCGTGTAACACATTAAGCACATCATGTGGCATACATTCGTGTAACACATTAACTATATCATATGGCATACATTCGTATAACACATTAACCACATCATGCGGCATACATTCGTGTAACACATTAACCACTTTATGTGGCATACATTCGTGTAACACATTAACCACATTATGTGGCATACATTCGTGTAACACATTAACCACATTATGTGGCATACATTCGTGTAAAACATTTAACCACATCATGTGGCATACATTCGTCTAACACATTAACCACATCATGTGGCATACATTCATGTAACACATTGACCACATCATGTGGCATACAATCATGTAACACATTAACCACATCATGTGGCACACATTCATATAACACATTAACCACATCATGTGGCACACATTCATATAACACATTAACCACAACATGTGGCATACATCCATATAACACATTAACCACACCATGTGGCACACATTCATATGACACATTAACCACATCGTGTAGCACACATTCATATAACACATTTACCACATCATGTGGCATACATTCATATAACATATTAAAAACATCATGTGGCATACAATCATGTAACACATTTAACCACATCATGTGGCACACATTCATATAACACATTAACCACACCATGTGGCACACATTCATATAACACAATATCCACATCATGTGGCATACATTCATATAACGCATTAACCACATCATGTGGCATACATTCATATAACACAGTTAACCACATCATGTGGCATACATTCGTGTAACACATTTAATCACATCATGTGGCACACATTCATATAACACATTAACCACATCATGTGGCACACATTAATATAACACATTAACCACATCATGTGGCATACATTCATATAACACATTAACCATATCATATGGCATAATCTTTCTTTGTCACAATCTTTCGAAGGAATGTGTAGTTTATAAATAGGACTATTTTGTGATGAAAAGAAGGAACTAGTGATGAAAAGGTTAATAAAGCAATACAAGTTTATAAAACGCATCTTTACTACTTTAGCCAAATGGTTTAAAATTGACCAATCATGTAGCTTGCAGTCATTTAACACATTGACTATATCATGTGGCATACATTCATGTAACACATTTAACCACATCATGTGGCATACATTCATATAACACATTAACCACATCATGTGGCATACATTCGTGTAACACATTTAACCACAACATGTGGCATACATTCGTGTAACACATTAACTATATCATATGGCATACATTCGTATAACAGATTAACCACACCATGCGGCATACATTCGTGTAACACATTAACCACATTATGTGGCATACATTCGTGTAACACATTAACCACATCATGTGGCATACATTCATGTAACACATTCAACCACACCATGTGGCACACATTCATATAACACATTAACCACACCATGTGGCACACATTCATATAACACATTAACCACATCATGTGGCACACATTCATATAACACACTAACCACTTCATGTGGCACACAATCACACAACACATTAACCACATCATGTAGCATACACCCATATAACACATTAACCACATCATGTGGCATACATCCATATAACGCATTAACCACATCATGTGGCATACATTCGTGTAACATATTTAACCACATCATGTGGCATACATTGGTGTAACACATTAACCACATCATGTGGCATACATTCATGTAACACATTGACCACATCATGTGGCATACAATCATGTAACACATTAACCACATCATGTGGCACACATTCATATAACACATTAACCACATCATGTGACACACATTCATATAACACATTAACCACAACATGTGGCATACATCCATACAACACATTAACCACACCATGTGGCACACATTCATATAACACATTAACCACATCATGTGGCACACATTCATATAACACATTAACCACATCATGTGGCATACATTCATATAACACATTAAAAACATCATGTGGCATACATTCATATAACACAATAACCACATCGTGTGGCATACATTCATATAACACATTAACCACATCATGTGGCATACATTCATATAACACAGTTAACCACATCATGTGGCATACATTCGTGTACCACATTTAATCACATCATGTGGCACACATTCGTGTAACACATTTAACCACATCATGTGGCACACATTCATATAACACATTAACCACATCATGTGGCATACATTCGTGTAACACATTTAACCACAACATGTGGCATACATTCATGTAACACATTTAACCACATCATGTGGCACACATTCATATAACACATTAACCACATCATGTTGCACACATTCGTGTAACACATTTAACCACATCATGTGGCACACATTCATACAACACATTAACCACATCATGTGGCATACATTCGTGTAACACATTTAACCACAACATGTGGCATACATTCATGTAACACATTTAACCACATCATGTGGCACACATTCATATAACACAATAACCACATCGTGTGGCATACATTCATATAACACATTAAACACATCATGTGGCATACATTCATATAACACAGTTAACCACATCATGTGGCATACATTCGTGTAACACATTTAATCACATCATGTGGCACACATTCGTGTAACACATTTAACCACATCATGTGGCACACATTCATATAACACATTAACCACATCATGTGGCATACGTTCATATAACACATTAACCATATCATATGGCATAATCTTTCTTTGTCACAATCTTTCGAAGGAATGTGTAGTTTATAAATAGGACTCTTTTGTGATGAAAAGAAGGAACTAGTGATGAAAAGGTTAATAAAGCAATACAAGTTTATAAAACGCATCTTTACTACTTTAGCCAAATGGTTTAAAATTGACCAATCATGTAGCTTACAGTCATTTAACACATTGACTATATCATGTGGCATACATTCATGTAACACATTTAACCACATCATGTGGCACACATTCATATAACACATTAACCACATCATGTGGCATACATTCGTGTAACACATTTAACCACAACATGTGGCATACATTCATGTAACACATTTAACCACATCATGTGGCATACATTTATATAACACATTAACCACATCATGTGGCATACATTTATATAACACATTAACCACATCATGTGGCATACATTCATATAATACATTTAACCACATCATGTGGCATACATTCATGTAACACA